ATTATTTTTCAAAGTGTCAGAAATGGATAACAAAACTGCTATTTTCAATGACTACTTATTTTTGTCCAGCTTTAAAATCGGTATCGATATCGGTTATCGGCTACATGAGTTTTAAAATATCGGATATCGGATATCGGCCAAAATCCTAATATCGTGCATCCCTACTTATTTTAAGAAAAATATCTTATCTAGATTTCGATTATTTCCAGTGTAGATCTAACTTTAGATGTATATTTTCTAATAAAATCAAATAAGAAATGAGCTTTTGTTTTATAATCTATTGCTCTCTAATGTCCAATCAGTCGGAAACATTCGTTTTTATAAAAAAATCATTAAATGTGAAAAGTTTGAGTTGTTTTTTTACTTTAACTGGAATTTTATTCACATTTTCTGAACTTTACTAAATTTCACTGGAGTGCTTTTGTCACACTGGGAAAACGATCCAGAAATAGGTAAAAATGGCTTAAATTAAGTTTATTTATCATTCATTTGAGTAGGTAGATGAGATAGTTTGCCAATGAAATAAGATAATTAGATAATATGCACTTGAAATCAAACAATGTAATTGTGTTTTCTCATTTTAAATGTAAATTGTCTTGTTCCATTGGCAAAATGTTTCTTTTACTTTCTTAATCCAAGAACAAATGCACTTATTTTAAGAAAAAAATGACTAGATCTAGATTACGATTTTTTTACAGTGCAGGAAACTTAAGAAGGAACGCAGAAAGTTTTAAACGAAGCCGTTTATTTGTTGGTGAGGTGTTACATCTACATGGAGCTCTGTGGGGAAAAACGCTCCAGCTGAGAAAAAGGTTTACAAAAAAATCACAAACCATCCATCATTTGGCACTTTTTTTTTTCTTTTTTTATCCATCTAGACAATATTTACAAGTCCCCACCCGGAGTGACACCCACATTATGAAAGTCACCGCCTGCACAGATTCCAGCTGGATCCCGATCCGCTCTGGGAATCCAGTTCAGCCACATGATGAGATCCGCCTCTTCCTCTTTAGTTCCTTTATTTGATTCACCAGGAGGAGGAACTGTTCTTATAACGTTACAGAAGCTGGTTGCACTGCAGTCGTCTTGGTATTAAGAACTAAGAGCAAAGCTGGTTTCTAGAACAACAACAAAAAGACTCGACTCTTCTTCTTACCAAAAAGCAAAAATTTGAGCGGCTTTAGTACCTTTAACCAGTCCATAGCAACACCCAATCTAACAATAAGGGAAAAGTTTTACATAGGTGTGTTTGACCTTAAAATAAGATTATTTCATGTGATTTTTATACTTTATATGTAAATTATTCTGTTGGTTTATTTTCTTAGCTGCTCAAATCAAAGGACAAAACATTTATTTAAAGAAGAATCGACTAAGATTTAAATTTTTCAAGACTAAACGGAAGGAAAAAAACTCAGAATGAAAAGATTAAGGTTTGATTTGTTAATCAGAGGACGTTAAAGTACCTTAAATAACCAAACTATAGTTAATATTCACTGCTGCATGAAATCGTGAAATCACCATAGCAACGGTGCTTCCAAGGAGGCGTGGTGACGGTGACCTCAGTGTGTTTAGCTTCATTCAGGCCCAAAGACGCTTTCTGTCATGGAAACGCAGCCTGCATGGCTGACAGGAAACAGGCGAGGAGGTTCTGACCCAAAGGTGGGAGGAAATGATGTCATGGTTTTATTTAGGAGTTTAAAGTGACGTGAAACCGCCACCTTCTGGGGTCGCTGAGCGACGTCAGGGCTTCATCCAGTCAGGATGAGCGATTTATGACCGAGGGAGTCGACGTAGGAGGACGAAACAAGCAAGAGAAACACTTTCCAGGCATTTCTGGACAGTCGGTGTTAACTTTTAACACTAGATTGGTATCTTTAGCTACATGCTAATCATTTTACACTCCATTCTTCTAAACCCAGCTCTATAAACAAGCTGGTTATAATGAGGCTAAAGGGGCGAGAATTCAATGAAATATCAGGGAACTTTAAACAAACTGGGTGATGATGATCGTTAATCCTTAATCCGCCTGACTGACCAATAGGAAACCTCCACCTATCGTAAATAAACTCATGCATGAGGCGCTAATAACGCTCTGAGATGTTTTCTGTTTCCAGCAGAGGAGGCAGAGATGAAAGAAATCCAGGAGGACATGTTGAGACGCGCGCTGATCGCTCAGGCTGCAGATCAAGACTCCTGCAGGTGACAGGAAGCTTGAACAGAGAACAGATTCTTCTAACTTTTAACAAGATCAACTGTTGATGCAGAAAAGGATTGATTTTGTTTTACGTTAAGAGTGAAATCCTTCTGTCATCATCTGGTTAGAAAAGAAAGCAAACAATGGCAGCAGGAAGGGCAGGAAAAACGCGTCCAATGCTCGTCATCTTTAAACGTTTCGGCTCCTGATGAGAGAAGGAAGTCTGGGCCGTTGGTGAAGGCAGGTCTGCGTTTGTTCATCGTCGTATTTCTTATCGATAGAAAACATGCTGGGATGTTAGAGGAGCGCCGTACGTTAATGCCCTGCTGGTATAGAGGAGAGTGGAACCGCAGCGCCGGATTAAACCCACATGGAGTCACCTAAAGTCCAAACTATGACACCATGTGTGCAAAGCAAAGGAAACATCTGCAGCTCAGGAAATATTAGTAGTACCAAATCATGACCAGCGTCCGTAGAAATATGTGCTAATAATCGGAGTCCTGCAGGGGGGAGGAGCTCTGCTTCCAAATGCATCTTTAGCGTCTATAAAAATATAGAAATATAATCCCATATCCTGTTTAATTCATGTTTGTGACCCGCCGCTCGTTTTTAAAGCAGCGCAAAGCGAGACACGTCTGTCCGGATCTCCTCAGGAACTCTAGAAATACTTCATTTCACTTCCGCCGTCGCTGGCAGGGATCCCGGGGAGGGATGCGTTCCGTCTGCCGTGCTTCTGTGCGTTGGACCGGTCCTGCCGTGCCCCGTGCGGAGGGATCAGTGCAGCCCGCCGTTGAAAGACTTCTCCAACCGTTCCAGTTCTGCAAAATGCGTGGAGATGGGCTGCTTGTAGAGAGGGTTGGAGGCCTGAGGGGATCAGAAGGGGGGGGGGTTACAGGCGGCTGCAGGAGTGGAAAACATTTATAGGAAGAGCTCAGAAATACTTTAACTCAAAGGTTCGTTTCTGCATGTTTGTTAACCTCTGCAGGTATGAATGTGAAACGCTTTTATTTCAACGTTATTCTGGATGAAAGTTTGTCAAAAATTGGTTTATTTATCAACTGAATTCATGTTATTCAGTCAAAAAGGGGATTTTGTGATCTTTTATTGTTATAAATGTTTTTTTTTGTTGCTATTTCTTTACATCTTGTTACCGTAGCAACCACTAAGAGTCAGTTCTTCCCCTTTTTTCCGTTTCTGTCTCTTACTGTAGGATGAATTAGGATCAGCTCTGTGTTTTCTTTACAGATCTTATCTTTTAAGAAGTATTTTAGATTAATTTTATTAGATCCGTTACTTCCTGTTAAAATTTTCCATGTTTTAGGTGCAATATAATTGGTATTTGTAATAATAGGGCTGCAACTAACGGTTAAATTGCAAAAGATTAATCTGTTGATAATTTTTTTTTATTAATCAAACAATAATCTGATAGCTAAAGTTTCTTATTGGTGAAATTAAAAATGTTCCACTTCAGGAGTTCTGGATTGAGCAGATTGAAAGACGAAAAGATTTTTATCTTAAATGAATAATATTTATAAATATCTTTTCTACCATCTTGGTATAATTCCTGCTCTCAGTGGGTCGTTCTCTCAGCTAAAGGCCTGTTTTAGTCTCTATACTCCAGTTAATGATTAATCGATGACTAAATTAGTTGATTTTTTTAATAATCGATTAATCTGATTAAATGTTTCAGCTCTACTCATAACTTTTGTTTTTCAGCTGCTGTTTTGAAGCCGTTTCTCTGAAGTTTGTTTGGATTCTTTTATCGTCTTTTATTGAATATTTAATGGCAGAAACTGCTGGAGCTGCGAAGCACCAACTGGTTTTATTGTTTCTTTTTGGAATAAGTACAGATAACCAGAATGTGTCTGTTATGGAGTTAAACTCCCGCATCAGAAATAAACAAACGGGGTTTCATACGTTTATATTTTCCTATCTATGTATGCAAGCATTTATTTCAGGGTTTCGGCGGGTCATCAAAAATTATTAAAAATCATTAAAATATAATTTTTTAACCTCTTAAAACCCACCGGGTCGACCTGGTGGACCTTAAGTGGAGATAGTAATTGAGAATGCATAAAATTCCAACTGGTAACATTTTTACCAGCAGGTGGAGCCGTTGCGCGCAGCTCCAAGCTGACACCTACAGTTCCAAACCCCGCAGCTCTGGAACTGTTATAGCTAGAGGACTGAAATTTTCTGCATTTGTGGTTGACATGATGTAGAACAAATATAGATGTAGAACATTTCTCAAGAATGTCTTTATTACTGCTGTTCAAAAAAGACCTATCATTTCCGGAAATAAAAAAAACCCAACTTTGAGTCATGTTTGAACTGATGCAGGTTGGTCTTTGTTCTAGTCATCCAATTTTAATTTATATATTAGGAAACTAGAGGGTGTTAGCTTTCAAATAATGTATTGCACATTTAATTTGGGCTTACAGTTCCTATATTATCTGCTTTTCCATTTAGGTATGCAAAATAGGCGAGGATTACCCAAAATGTGGTGGATGTTAAGAGGTTAAATTAAGCCTTAATTGGCATTAAAATGCATTAAATGTGAATATCGTGGCATTTAAAATGTTTATAAAAAAAATAAAAAAAAGTTTATAAAAAAAATGTCAAATATATTATATCGCGATATAGTTCCAGTTCTTCGTAAAGCCGTATGTTTGGAAAAGAAGCTCGAGGCGCGAAAAAAGGCTAGAAAATGGGAAAATGCAAATTTCAGCAACAGTGGCTGAAAAATTAGGAATTCGGGACAATATATATATATATATATATATATATATATATATATATATATATATATATATTTTATTTATTTTTTCAGAATTTTGGTATAAATCCTGCTGTTCGCTCTGTCAGCTAAAGGCATGTTTCAGAGTCTCTATACTCCAATTATTAATGATTAATTGATTACTAAATTAGATTATTTCAATAATCGATTAATCTGATTGTTTTCAGCCCTGATCAATAAAGATGCGTTTTGAATCTAATTAGAAAGATCTTCTCACTCTCAGCCTCCTGCAGGCCTTCAGCTCGTTTGGACCAAGGATAAAGAACCCTGGTGAGAGCGTAATTCCTGCATCCAAAAACCTGAAGGTTTCAGAATCAAGTTTATTGCCAAGTAGGTTTGCACTTACAAGGAATTTGACTTGGTGTTGTTGGTGCAGACAAAGGTTCTGTTAAACCAGAAGCACTACGTTTATTAAAGAACTATCAAACAGCTGAGCTGCTGCATCCTGGGAAGGAATGTTTTCTGTTTTAGTCGCTTTCTTTCACAGAAAAGCAGAGAAAGTTTCCTCTGACGCCTCAGACCCCGTTTAGACGAAGGGAAAACGCAGATAATTCCCTGCGGTTTGGTCTCTCCTTTAAACCAAAACCCAGTTTTTATCACAGAAAACGATTATTTCTAAAACCTCGGGCCAAAGTGCAGATGTCTGATATCGCCGGTTACGTGCCGCCGTGTCAACAGGGATAAACGGCGGTTTGGCTTCTTAAACGTCACATTATGCACCAAAAAATCCTTAACATCATGTGATCGCCTG